TAAGCAGATGCCTAAATCAGTGTAAAATAGACACAGGTCTGCAATCACAGAAAGGCATGCACTATCTTTTCAATAAGCAGAAGGAAAAAGAAATCTGAGCTAACTCTAATTTAACAGAAAAATATTCAAATCCTGGGACAGCAAGATAGCTCAGTGGGTACTTGAATCCCTGGAATTTATACAGTGGATGAAAAAAACCACCAACTCCTGACATCTGTCCTCTGACCTGCACACATCTCTCTCTCCTTCCTTCTCCCTCCCTCTCTAATTCACTCTCTCTCTCTAAATGAATAAATGAGCTTAATTTTTAAAAATCCATATGTTGTTAAAAAGAAACAGATCTCAACTATGCAATCACAAAACATGCACAGTAAGAGGCTAGACAAGTGCTGTCTAACACGCAGGAGGTCTTGGGTTCCAATCACTAGCACCACCAAGAAAAAACTAAGCAAAGGTTACGCCCAACAAAAAGTAGCTCAAATAATGTAGACAGAACTACACCAAGTAGATTTTAAAGGCAAGAAACACATAGTATTAGAGATAAAAGACAACATATTATAACTTCAAAGGTCCAATTTACTAGAATGATAAAACTCTAAGTCTGTATGCATCTAGTAACAACTTCAAAACATGCAGTTCTTAAAGAAGTAAAAGGAAAAATGAAGATTCATAACCACAGAATTACTGAGATACACCTCTCTGTAATAAAAAAAAAAGAGAGAGAGAGAAACAAAATTAATAAGCAGTAAAGCCGGGATGTAGCTCAATGAAGAGTACTTGCCTAGCTCACACAGGATACATGATGCTATAGTCAGCTGGAGGTAAGAAATCAGAGGTGATTAAGAACAGACCAGCATCAGTGAGTGAAAGCTTCTGGGAAATCATTTCTGAGAGCACAAAGAAGCTGTATTCCAGAGACAGCCCAAGACGAATCTCATGTTGGTGGTCAGACATGGTACTGTGTAAGAGTCACCCAGGTGATGCCAGTTTTGAAGACATGAAGGGGTCATGAGAGCAACTGAGACTTGGCACCATGAAGAGAACCTATGAGAGGCTATGTGTGAAAGTGTCATCTAGTTGTAGCGAGACCCCAGCAGTTTTGGAGATGCCAGTACCGTGGAACGAGCACCAAGAACAGCAATAGCAAAGGAGCAGAGGTGGAGGGAGCCTAGAAGGCAAGCTGCGTGCTACAGAGGCCAGAGCTAGACAAGTGACCCAAGCGAATCCTGTCTGTAAGCACAGAGCAGTCACAGCACATAGTGAAGCAGCGCATGGAGCTTGTACAGGGCAGTCAGAAAGCCCAGGACCAGAGTCCTCTCTCCAATGCTTTTATACCCCAGACCTAACCAAGCTAACTCTCTCAATCTCAGATTCCCAAGCTGTAAAATATGGTATCACATTCATATTGGTGTTCAGGTGAAGACTAAACATATCTAATTGCACAGAACAATCTGAGAACAGAAGAAACTTAGTAATTGCTTGTTATTGGTGGAGTCATGCTTAGTGGTTTTAAAGTAAGAACTTGACAAGCCTCTGGAAAGCTCTATGATGTGGGCAAGTATCTTACATACTGACCTCACCTTCCTCAGCTGTAGAACGTATGAAACTCACTGCACATTTGTGCTTAGGATTAAACAAAACTACATGAACAAAGCATCTCAGGAACACTAAGTACCAATTAAGTTATCACCAACACCACCACTACAACCTACAGCAATAAACAGTTAAGAATACAGATCAATGATTTATAAAATGTTTTTACAAGTAGTATATTCAAGCCTATCACCTATCATTTACATGTGCCTCTCTTAATTCCAAAATTAGGTATGAATTTCAGAAGAAAAAGTAAAATACAGGAAAATTCATTTAAACACACTGAAAAATAAAATGCCAATGTGTTAGCTTTAAAATAAAAAAAAAGTATGATCTTTAACTAGACTTGTTTTAACATTTTAAGGTTCAAATCAATCTTAGGAATTAAAAGGAGAAATGGTTTTCTACATTAGGAAAAAGAAATAGAAATCCTAGAAAGAAATCTGAGATTGAAATCCTTTTCATGACTTAATGGGGGAAGGGTCCTACCATATGTGGCATATGTGCGCCTATGTGTACAGATAATTCTGTCTCTGTGTGTCTGTGTGTGTGTGTGTGTGTGTGTGTGTGCCCAAGAAGCCAGAGGAGGACACAGGGTATCTATCCTACTCTATCACTCTCCACCTTGCTCCTTTTCTCACTGAACCTAGAAGCTGGTACCCAGTTAGCTCCAGGAATCCTCCAGTCTCTACCCCACCAAGAGCACCGGGTTACAGGTGCACCATACAAGGCTGTCTATGCTAGCATAACTCAGGTCCTCAAGCTTGTTCACAAAACACACTCGGCTGAGTAACCTCTTCAGCCTTTACATGTCTTTGAACAACTAAAACATACATGCCTTTAGAGTCCCATCCAGTCTCCACAGCACTTGGACAGAAGCAGTAAAGAAGCACACTGGGTCATGAATGTGGAGCAGACTCTGGAGTCAACTCTGGCCTCCCCTAGGTGGATGACCATAGGCAAATGTGAACCTCTCATGCCTGCTTCCTCATCTGGAAAATGGAGATGTGGGGTTAAGGGTGACAACAACAGATCTCATATAGCCCAGGCTGACCTTTTACTATGTAGCTGAGGCTGACCTTACACTTCTGAGTCTCCTCCTGCTTCCTAAGTGCTTGCATTACAGGCATCTCTCTAGGCCCAACACCAGGCCCAGCTCTTTGAGATTCTTTAAGACTGTTAAGATTTAAATGAACTAAAAACACTTGAAGTATTCATAACAAAGATTAGCATATGAAAGGCAAAAGTAATCATTTTTTGTAATTATTACCACCAACCCAAAATGCCTAGATTTCTGTCAATAAAGAATTGCTCTTTTCTGAACAATTTCAACAAATGGATGGTTAGACTTTAAAAGAAAAATCACACCTGCTTAAGACATTACATAATGCCTTTCTTTCACTGTTTCACCCCATTAGAGGTGATTTTTAGGGGGAAAAAAATCAATCTCTTTCTTAAACTTCCTGTCATACAAAGATGTAGACTTGCTATCCTAAGTTCAGAACCAAGAATTTCACAGCTAAGGCAAGACAGACACACAACAGCCTGCTTGACAAGATTCTCAAACTCATGCTTCCTAACACTCACCTACACTCACTCCTTCAAAGGAAAAACTTCAGATTACTGAACTCTAAAGTGCTTTAAAATAAAAACTATACTACATGTTTGAAACGCCGTTGGGGTTACACAAGATGCACTAAGTGGAAGTACTAAGTGAAAATAAACCCTGTTTTTTCTGTGGCCTTAAGGAAGCTATAGCAATGGCTTCTTCCAGCTACAATCTAAACTGTAACAGCAGGTGCTGTCCACTACAAACTGGAGGCTAAGTAACTATCCCACCAGATCAACGACTCCTTTTAGAAATGCCTTCCTCTTTAACATGCCCATACAACAGGTAACTCAACTGGGATTTGGGATATCCAAGTCTCATGCTTACACCAGCATGTAAAGGAATGGCAGACAACCTAAAGTGTAAGTAATCTAACTAAGGACCAGGGGAAGAAAACAGTCATTCGAGGTAGTGACACACGACCAACTCTCTAACCTAGACACAGAAGATGTTATCTTCAGATTCAAAGGAGTTGGTCAAAACAAACAAACTAAAAAGGCCCCAAAAAACAAACACACCAAAAGGGAAAAAAATAGGTTCATATAATGAACAGCCACAAGTCCACTTCAACCAAAGGTTAGTGTTTATCCAGCTCACCCCCAAATTAAAAGTTGGGTTCCAACATCAATCAGAAATGTGGCCATGTACCAGCCATCAACAGGCCACAGCCGGCCAGATCAGACCACAGGTCAGCCTTCATTGAGCCAGAGCTACAACGCTCAGTGCCAACCCTTGACCTGGTGACTAGGAGGAGGACAGGTGGGCAGTCAAGGGAGGCTGATTTTTCATCTGCAGCTTCACAAGTCCTGACTGACTGGACTTGAGAAATCAAATCTGAACAAAGGTGAGGAATTTTTAAAATACAAATGGAAAACAATCACTGTTCAGGACACTCCCGAGATGTAGCGATTTCATTTGAAATAGCAACAGAAATCCGTACCAGTTACTTGTTTTGTTCATAAAGCCATTTCTGCTGAGGTGGTAGTTCCCTAGGACAAGCAGCACTCCTCCAGACCTGCCTTCCCTTCCCTTCTTTTTTCAGAACTTCCAGCCCCCAAAGCAAAGACACCCCTCTGCCAGTCCTCCAAGTTTTTGCCAGGATGCAGATGGACTCATCAACTTCGCTCGCCACTCCTGCAAAGCTAAGCACTTTCAATGCGGGCTCAAGAACTCCGTACGCCGCACGTCCGAGCCGTACTGGAAGGATCCGGCCCCCGTCGTCCTGACTACCTCCGATGGCGGCGGGGGGCGGGGGGGGGGGGAAGGGGGGACGGACTCGCCCGCGGCCCGGGCCCCGGGCCCCGAGCCCCGAGCCCCGAGCCCCGCTCTGCCTCAACTCCCGCTGCGCAAGCTCGCCTCGCCGCTACCCCGAGCTCACGCCCGGGCCCTCACTCTGGCCTCGGCCCGCCAGGCCGGAGCTCTCGGCCGCGGCACCGAGAAGCTTCAGAGGCCGCGCGTTCCCCTCACAGGCCCCGCCTGGGCCTCTCGGCTCCGCTCCCCTCCACCGCACGCTCTGCCCGGCCGCGCTCTCGCCGAGCAGCGCCGACAGCTCGAGCGCAGGGCCCCGCACTTACTCGGGAAGGTAGGTGGAGGAGAAGGAGCTCCACTTATGCAGCGCGTAGGGCAGAAGCCGGCACTCGGGCGCCGCAGCAACAGCCCCGCCAGCCGCCATTTTGTCAGCACCGTAGCGGCCGCCACCGACCGCCAGCCCCGCCAGGAGGAGGGCGGGGACGTGGCCTGCTCTTAAAGGGGCCGCACCATGAACCCAACCGCGCAGGGCCGGGACTGGCTGGTTGGAGGCCGCTTCCTCAGGTTTCCCACGCTGTCCTTTCCTAGCTGACCCTCCCATGGAGGCTTTCCCGTGAGGCTGGAAGAGGAGTGGCACAGAGGACTTATCTTACAAGCGCAGGTAAAGACAAAGCCAAGGACATTTTGAAAAAAAAAAAAAACTTATAGTACTGGAAGGGAAATTTAGATGAGCTTTGAAAGGGAATACCTTTCCGACTTTGGAAACCACTGCCCTAGTCTGTTTATAAATCCTTTCCGGAAACAGAGGTGAGGAGAATTGAAATGCAATAATAATGTATGGCCTTTGTCTCTGCAGTTGTCCTGAGGTAAAAAATGTCCTTGTCACCGTGTTCAAGGGTCAGGTGGAGGCAAGAAAAGGAAAAGCTAGTGTGTTCGGCTATCAGTCTCTAATGTCCTTCATTGTAAACATTTCTTGTGAGCCTCTCTTACTAATATTCTTATGGCATCGTTATACTCAAAAATGATATTCACCCACATACCAGGAAAACACTCATAGAGTTGGAAAGCTGGGTGCCATCATTTGTCTCGGGTGGTAAATCTGCTTGCTTTTAATTTTAACATAAATTTAGCCCAAATGTTTGGAAAGAGGGAGATGCTTGAGAAAAGATCACATCCTCTTCAGAAGGAATAATGAGTATACCCGATCCCACCCCCAACATACATACTGTTCCGAAAGTCTGACAGCAGGCGTCATTCCAGCTTTTTTATCACAAAGAGAACATCTGGTCTAAATAGGTGGCAAAGTTAGATAATGCTCCCGTCTAGTACCTGTTAGTCGGGGTTATAAATATTTCCTTGCTTCCTCATTGACATCACCCAAAATTGTGTCACTCTTTGCCTAAGAGGTTGGACTCCTGGAAGTTTGGATTGCACCATGGTGTTAACCAGAGGATACAAAAACTCAAGCAAAGAGTTTCTCAATAAATGATCCAATAGTTTTACTCTCTTTGATTATGATCATTAACCTGCCCATCAGCTCTCTCCAATAATTTATTGGTTTCATTTCCATTGGTGAAATTTCTGTAGTAGCCTCTGCTAGGATACCATCAAAAATGTCAGCTAGGCCACAAGTCTACTCAGTGTTTAAGACTCCACACACTTTAAGTGTGAGGCTTTGTTGGGAATGTATGACCCCGGAGGTAATGACCCCTGAGGTAATGCTCTAACCCCACTGACTTGAGTTAGAGAACTGCCTGCCATGGAGGAAGTTTGCTACAGACAGATTATCTTGGAGGGAAAGATTGTCCCTAAAAGGGAGAGGATAAGCTGGGGATTCACTCCAGTTAGAGGACCCACAATTTGCTAATTCCTCTTCTTCTCTGGTCTTAATAAGTCTTGTTATTGTTGTTGTTTATCCAGGCATAGAATTATATAGTTCCTGAGCAAGTTTTGTGAAAAACGGGTGTAAACCAATTCTTCTTCTTAAGATTGTAATTTAATTACAATATTTCTCCCATCCCTTTCCTTTCTCCAAACCTCCTATATAGCTTTCAAATTCATGGTCACTTTTTCATTAATTGTTATTGCATATATGTACTTGTATAAATATTTATTATCCAGTATAACCAATTGAGTCCATATAGTGTTACCTGAATTACTTTTTCAGGTGTGACCATTTGACACTGGACAACCAATTGGTACGCTCCTCCTTCCCAGGGGGTCCACTCTCCAGCTCCCAGCTTTACTCGGTGCCTGTAGTTCTTCATGTAGGTTTGAGGCCCCATGGGCTTCTCCTCACCTTACCCTCTATGCCCCTTTCAAACACTTTTTTCTTCTAAAGTGTTAGACTTTCCTGAAGTTGGTTGTTTGTTTGTTTGGAAGGGGAGAGTTGCCATGGTTGTTGTTTCTTACTATGTAAACATGAATTTGCAGAGTACCTCTTGCCTCTGCTTCCCTTGAGGACTGGGGTCACCATGCTCAGCTCCTCTGTGGCTTTCTCTTCTCTTCCATTATCAATGGTTTAGCAGGGGGGTCTTCAGTGAGTGCTCAGGCTTTCTCCTTTTCCTGCTTCCATTCCCTACACACACACACACACACACAGACACACACACACACTCACACATATGCACACACACTCCTCGGCATCAGCACTCTAGTCCAGTGACATTAAACACGAATTCCAAATTGCTACTTCTGTGGTGTTCATCCTCTCTGTCCTCGAGGCATAATCTCCCCCTGGCCTGGAACATCTCCAACACCACATTCTACCCTGCTTGTTCTTCAGAGCATTTTATCTCAGAAAATCTTTCCCCATCACCTACTTTAAGATCACTTGACATTTTCTACATTTCCCTTAACATGCAGAGTTCCCCTTCCTTAGCTTAACAATCACAACAGTGTGTTTCCATGTCTTTTGTATTTCTCTGTCCTGTGCAGAGAACTTGCACTGTGGTAGGAGCCACGCAGAGCCAACTCTCGGTCCTATCTACTCGCTGTAGTCTCGATGGAGTGTGCTCTAGTACACAGTAGATGCTCAGCCAGTGCTCACTGAAGAATAAATATGCTGTGCTGAGATTTCAGTTAGAGGCCAATGTGCTACAAAGGAAAACTGAGTGTCACACACAGTAACTGTGTGCCCCTTAGGTATCATTGCCAAGCTCACTGTGAGGCCCTCACTGTAAGGAGAACATGGGTTTCCTATGACACAAATCTCACAAAGGATGACACATTTAAAGTACTCCTATGTTAATGGAAATACAAACAGGTTATATTAATACTCAACCCAAAATTTGTAGAAATGTCCAAATAAAATTGGAGACTCAAGAAACTGCAGACTCTTCAGAAGATCCCTGACAAGCTAGACTTCTAGTAAAAATGGGGTCCATTTTTACTCTCTTCAGCCTTGGAGACATGACTTTAGGTGATGGGATTGTTTCCAGAGATGCACATGGAAGGCCTGGGAACTGACAGCAGCCAGAGAGTCACCCTGTACCATTGTACTTCACAGATGGGGCCTATTATAAACCATCACGGAGCTTGAAGGGCATCGTTTTTCAGGGATCAACAGTGTGATAGCAACACACAGCACCAGTGAGCCAGTCTTCTTGTCCCCCAGGGACCCGTGTGCTATGCTCAGATACTTCCCAGAGGTAGCTCATTATCTTTGGGGTTTTCGAGTTCTCTCTCTCTCTCTCTCTCTCTCTCTCTCTCTCTCTCTCTCTCTCTCTCTCTCTTTCTCTGTGCAAGGAAGACTTTTCAAGGGAAGCTATGATGCCTCAGGCATTCCCGGATGCTAGGGAGACAGTGGTGAACAGCAGAGCCAGACAAGGCTGCACTTCATGAAGCTACCATTCTCTGTTCAGGCAATACATACAATAAGTCATATAAATAATTTTAGTTTGTGCTAAATTCTGAAAAGAGACTAATCCAGAGTAATTCGTAGATTTCCTAGGTTCCCTAAGAAGGTAATAGTTGAGCTAATACCTATATAATGAGGAAGCGCCAACCACTGTAAAAGACTGGTTTTAAAAAATTCCGGGCCTTTAAAGCATGAATTATTGACTGCTGTAATGCTTTATCCAAAGAGACCCAGCTCTCGGTGGTACATGCAGACCCTCGTTGGTTCAAAAGCTTATCCTGTTTGATCCTAATTCTTCCAAAATGAGTTGATAATTGGGAATAAATTTAATAAACTGTGAAGTGCTACTCAAATATCAAATGTAGCCAAGTAATAGTAATAAAGACCACGAGAGACACAAAGCAAAACAAACACAGCTGAGTCTATTTTTATGAAAAGGAACACTTACAAATTGGCAGAGGGCAAAAGGCATTTGCTTATTGTTAAGGAAGGGATTTTATAGTTGCTATGCTTGGTAGATTATACACTGCCATGACAAAACACTTGAGGCAGGGTAATTTTTAAAGAAAAATTTATTTCTCAGAGTTTCAGAGGCTGGCAGTTCAAGATCAAAAGGCCAGCATGTTTGGTGTTTAGTGAGAGTCTGTCTTTCTGCTTCTAAGATGGCTTATGTCATCTGGAGGGGAGAAGTGTTACCTCATAACAATGGAGGAGGAAGGAAAAGGAGCCTAGATAGTTCCCTCCCGTCTCTTTTATAATAGAGTAATAACCCCATGAATAAAGGTGAGGCCCCTACAGTTCATTATCTCTTAGAAGCCCCATCTCTTATTTGGGGATTATGTTTCAACATGAATGTTGGAGGGAATAATATCCAAACCATAGCAAAGGATTAAAACGTATTTGAACGAAGACTGGAATATACTCATTGCTCTACATGACTGGTTAAAATAAGACTAAAATAAAATAGTTAAGGAAAGCAATCTTGACATAAAGCCCTCTGAGGTTCTTGTTTTAATTTACCGGGGCCACTCAGAGATCACAAACAGATTTTGAAAGTTAGAACAGGTGAAACATGACAAATTATTCAACTTGCTGTCTTCTAAGAAAACTCTGATGTAGATGAAAAATGCCTTTTTACAGTAGTATACAACAGATGGAACCACTAAATCCTAAGATGTTTACACAACTGAGCTGTTCGGAGATGTGCATCTAGAACCCAAGTCCCCGAGTTTTCCTATGCTCTTCATGAGAAGTGTGTGTTATGTATGTTTATATTTATGTGACTGTTCTCCAAATCCCCTATCACAGGCATATGCTAGGTACTCAATAAACATGCCTTTTGCTTCCCTCCAGATTTCTTCTTGACAATTTATATTTTCCACAAAATTGAAAACTAGACAGAATTAAAGACATAGAGATTGTCAGTTCAAATTTTGATCAGTGTGATGGTTAGTGTTGTCACCCTGGCAGAATCCAGAGTCACCTAGGAGGAAAGCCTCCAAGTGCACTGTATGTTATAATCTAGATGAAGGTTTCGTTCTGAGAATGCCCATGGAGAATTATTTCCATTATGTTGATTGATGTGGGAAGACTATTCTCTAGATGGGGAATTCTAAAGTGTGTACTCTGAATAAAGCAGGCAGAGTATTCTCTGCTTCCTGACTATGGATGTAGTGTGAGCTCAAGCTCAGGCTCTCTTAGGTCCCTCTGAACTGTGAGCTAGAATAAACCCTTTCTCCCCTAAGTTGCTTTTGTCAGAGTATTTTATACCAACAGGAAGAGAAAGTAAGATAGAAAAGTGGCACCAAGAATGGGGTCATTGCTAGATAAACTTGACCACTTGGCTCTTAGGCCTTTGGAAATAGTGGAATGCGGAAGAGTTTGGCACTTAGGACTAAAAAGACCCTGGAAGGCTGGAAACAGGGATTCGTGGATTGTTCTGATAGGCCCTTAGGATACAAGAGTGCTGAACAAACACAGTGGAGGCCCAACTCATGAGTTATCAGAGAGAACCAAAGACTCCACCAGGAACTGGGCCAGGGACCATTCATGTGATATTTTGGCTAAGAATCTGGCTTCGTTTTGACTGTAAACTAAGAACCTGTATGAAGCTGAATTTAAAGTTAATAGATTAACTTGTTTAGCAGTGGAAAGTTCAAGTTAGGAGAGCATCCAGGGCATTAATGAGGAAATGATGTAATCATTAAGTAAAACAGCATCACAGAAGAGGGGCCTCCTGCACTGCACTGGGAAAAAGGAGAAAGGGACCCTGGGAGCAAGACCCCACCCATCAGAGGCTCCATCTCATAAGAGACTAAATTTTATTGAAGGAGAGAGCCCAAACTTAAGGTGTCTTCTGCTCAAACACAACCACCTAAGGAAGTGTTTTACCAAAGTTGGCCCAGAAAGCATACGGATGTTGCTATGACTGTGGTACAGGGGGGCTGGACTACATCATGAACTGACAGCAAAATCTGGCAGCCTTATCTGCATGGCACTAGTTTTGAAATCACTAAAAATGAAAACTTAGAAGCAGTCATGGAGTCCTGATCTGGAGTGATGCTGCAGAGCCACTGAGGCCAGGTGATGCGTGCAAGAGTCAGAGTCCCTACAAGCAGGCCCCGAAAACCAGTGCACATGGATGTGAAGGTGACCTGGGGACACTGGAGATAGCTAGGACCATGGGATGTCTGCCAAGGAGAGCTGACATGATGAACGGGGCCAGCCTAGGAAAAAGGCTATGTGTGTTGAAGGCAGCAGAGCTGGAGGAGTGAAGCCATCCAGCCCATTTGGAGCCCAGATGATTGTATTACAAGCCTCTGATGCAAGACCCAAAGCTGTAGGATTTGGTGTTTGCCCTACTGGATTTTCATCTTGCTTTGATCCAGTCACTCCTTTCTATGCCCCTAATCTTTCTTTTTGGAATAGGAACATTTACTGTGTCATTTTATGTTGGAAGTACATAGCTTGCTTATTTTGTAGGAACTTTGTAATTGTTGCTGGCAACCTCTGTGGGAGATTGAAGGACCCTTTCACAGGGGTTGCATATCAGATATCCTACATATCAAATATCTACATATCCATAACAGTAGCAAAATTAGTGATGAAGTAGCAACAAAAGTAATTTTATGGCTGGGGGGTCACCACTCCCTGAGGAACTGTATTAAAGGATTGCAGCATTAGGAAGGTTGAGAACCGCTGGGCTATAGGGACTTCGGATGCTGGAATGCATGTACTTTGCTTTATAAGATGGCCCTAAGCCTATGCAGACAAGGGGCTGGGCCTCTGGGACGGGATTCTTAGATGATTATGAGCCACTCTGTGGATTCTGGGAACTGAACCTGGGTCCTCTGCAAGAAGAACAAGTATCTTAACCACTGAGCTAGCTCGCTTTCAGCTGTAAGGGAGAGGATCCCCCAGGTAGCAATTCTGAATTACATAAAAAGATAAAATGAGCTGCGCACTTTCCATGAGCGCTCGTCTTTCTTTGCTTTCTGACTCTGGGTGTAGTGTGAACAACTGCCAGCTTCTCCGCCAGGATGCACTGTACTCCTGCAGCATGAGCTGAAGTACAAACCCTTTCTCCTTTGAGTTGCTTTTGTTAGTTCTTAGTTTGTTTGTTGTTTTATTAGTTTGCCTTGTTTTGTTTTGTTTTTGTTTTCAATCACAGCAACAGGAAAAGAAACTAAAATACTAAAGAAATTGCCCCTGGAGATTGGAAGCATGAACACGTCACCATCAACCGTTTCTTGACTACTTGGAGCTCCCATTGCTATCTCAACTCTCGGAACAGCCTAGTAGGTGAATTGAGATGCTTGGACATCAAGGATCAGCAAGCTTGTATGTATCCTCTCCTGTAAAAACCGTGTGAGTGTGCGTCCTCACCATTACCCTAAGGCTCACGGTTCAGAGAGCTGAGAGGAGGATTCTCTCATATAGTCCTAAAACTGTCAGTTCCAAAGTCTACTTTTTTTCCAATTTTGGGAGTGGAGTTCTGGGCCTCATGCATACTAGATAAGCCCTTTTTACCTGGCTGTACTCCCTAGCCCTGGAATCATTTCTTTAAGCAAAATGCTGTCCAAAAAAAAAAAAAAAAAACAAAAGAAATGCAAAAAGGACAGGTGTGATATTTTTGTTGTTGTTGTTGTTGTTGTTGTGTAAGTAGGTAATTAGTTTGGGGTTGTTTGTTTCTTAAGGGAAAGCTATTTCAGCCTTTTGCCCAGTGGGGCCTTTAGCCAAGTCAGGGGTGAACCTAGACATGGGCTTCAGGTGTGAAGTTCAGGCCTATCTTCTCCCAGGAGGTGGCAGCAGCAGCAGCATCTGTGTCATCGCTTGGTCGGGGAAGTAGGGCAGAATGCATCTGCTTTCTCTTTGGCATTCAAACCTAAAAATTCTTGGTTCCAGAGGCCACTTTATCCCTTCCTTGGTTTGCTGAGCTTGTTTGGAGCCAGGCACTGGGGAGTGTAGGAGCTGGCAGAGATTCCTCTTCATAAGTGCCTAGCTTTTTCTGTAAACATTTTGGTCTAGGCTACGACCTTGAAGCGAGTGTGAAGGAGGTGAGAAAGTCTCTGGCCAAAAGGAAAGAGCTTCAAAAAGAAACAGTAACTTTACTCTCCCGGCCCCATAAGCATAAATCTAGAGGACATCATACAAAGAATAGACTCTTGACCCAGGCTCCCAGCCACCAGCCTGCTGACCTTGTCCTTGAACCTGTCAGAGCTACAGTTCTTAGCAGCCCATTGGAGACTAAGGCAGTCTTCAGGCACCTGCTAATTTTTAATTTGGAGAGGGTGGTCATGGACACATGTGCACATGAGTATGAAAGCCAGAGGTCAACTCAAGTGTCATCCACTTTGCCTTTTTGAGACATGTCCTCTCACTGACCTGGAGCTCACCAAGGAGGTTAGGCTAGTTGGGCAGCAGTAGCCCACTCTTCCAGTGCTGGGATTCTCGGTGCATACTACCACTCCTGACTTTTTCACAGGGCTCCTGGAGATTGAGCTCAGGTCCTCCTGCTTGTACGAATGAGCACTTTACCCAACTGAGCTATGATCCACAGTCCTAACTTTTAAATTTCATTTTTATTATTTGGATTAATAAGGACTGCCCTTCACCTTTGCAAAATTTAAACAAATCTTAGACACAACAAATCGCTACTTGGTTCCAAGTTAATCCCAGCTGAGCACATATTCTGGTTTGGCAGACACTGCCAGCTGTATAGGAGGTGGGCAGAAGTCCCAAGAAATGTCTGGATACCACACAGCTATGGATGAACTGTCAACTGCTGGAGATTGCTTTGCAAATTGCCACATCCGAATGGAGCCGACAAAACGATATTTCAAAAGAGCAATTAGCACTGATTCCTAGTATATTTGGAACCAAAAGGCCTTGGGGGTGGGGCGGGTGCAGTTGGCTCAGCAGAAGAGTATCTCATCCATCTGGATTGAAATGTCCAAGGTTTAAGAGCTTTGAAGCTACACTCTTCCTGAGCCCCCCTCCCCTGCCGTGTCCTGGCTTTTGTGAAACTCCAGACATAACTAGTTTCTCTCATTTCCGCATTTCATCTAGTTGGCTCTACTTCCCTTGCCTTGTTAAACTTCCATCCAGTCACTGACGTGAGCAATTATTCATCCTCCCCCATGTACCAGGTACAGAGGATATGCCTGGCTTATGTCTGTTCAGAAGTGGTTGGTATAAATATATATATATATATATATATATATATATATATATATATATATGGTAGTAGTGGTGACATTGGTGATGGCTGTAATCTTAGTTTTGGTAAGGCCACAGACCAAATGTCATATTTCTAATGATGGGTATTGATAGACCAGAGTAGAATCATCTAGATAGGATAAAAATCCTATAGTTCCATAGGAATTGGCACCCATGAGTCTGTCAAGACAACCCTTCCTTGTTCATACAAAAGGCACCATATTGAAATCTCTTCCAGATTAGGAGCTGTGGCTCCAGAAAGCCAGTATCAGTGTCAGTGGAGAAATACACACACACACACACACACGAGTACATATATGCACACAGATATCTGTGTCTATATTTATAGATATCAAAACAGTAAACTGGAGAGTGACTGTGATAGGAAAGTTGGTAATAAAAAATAATTCTGGACAACTCTACATTAGAGAGGAGAACCCAGAGGGCAAGTCAGAGAACAAAGGGACACAGGAATATCCAGAACGACATAGAATGTCTCAGACAGTGGCACACAGCGAGAGAGAGAGAGAGAGAGAGAGAGAGAGAGAGAGAGAGAGAGAGAGAGAGAGAAGCAGAGACAGAGAAAGAGAGAGAGAGAGAAAGGAGAAAGTAATCATGTCTCCTGGTTCTACCACATTCCAGATCAGTTGAACTAACGTTCAAGGTCAAAAAGTCGTTAGAAGTCCTTGTAGTGTTGGAATTATCTCCTGCCCCAGGGTAACTTGTAGGAGTCGGTTCTCTCCTACTGTGTGGGGCCTGAGGATTGAACTCAGGTCATCAAGCTTGGCAGCAAGCACCTTTACCAATGAGTCCTGCTGCCAAGCCCTCAACCACAAATTTTTGTAGACTTTATCATGCTTTCGAGTTTTTTAAATTCTTCGGTTGGGGTGGGGGGCAGATAGGAGAAGGGAGCTTGGCAGCAAGTGCCTTTACCCAGTGGGCCATCTTGGTGGTCCCTGAAAATTGTGATTTATGTTCTTCCTACTTGTTTACAAACAATGCTCTAAAACCACCTCTCCTGAACTCCACAACCAACTTAAAGTGATGCACTAAATACACAGCACCAAGGTTGAGAACCTCTGGCCTCTGGCTTACTTTTCTCCAGCTTGGGTTGGGGTGTACTGATTTCATAAGACATAGGCTGTCTTTGTTTCTATATTGTTGTTGTTATTATTATTTGACCTAGAGTCTTCCTTTCCTGTGTGGTTTTGGGTGGCCTGGAACTCCCCATGTCGACTGGGCTGACCTTGTATTTGGCAGACCTGCCTGCCTCTGCCTACCAAGTGCCGAGTGCTGAGTGCTGAGAGTAAACGCTTGTGCCACCCCACCTTTCTCAGTTTCTTTCACCAAGGCTGTGATAAAATATTCTGACCAAAGCGACTTGAGGAAGAAAAGATTTATTTTAGCCCACAGAATGGCACTATCCCACAGGCTGGGGAAGTCAGGGGAGCAGCAGCTGAAAGCAGCTGATCATGTGATAACTGCAGTCAGGAGAGGACAGTGAAGTCAGCCTGCTAGTGCCCAGCTCCTACTTCCAGGGTTCAGTTACGGAATGGTGCCACACACAGTGAAGGGTCTTCCCACAGCATGACAGTCCCCACAGGCATGTGCAGAGGTCTATCTCTTGAGTGATTCTAGATTTTCTCAAGTTAACAACACTAACCATCACATGCTTTAAAAAAGAAAAAAAATCCTCCAAGCTAAGTCTTGTGTGTCTCCTTTCTGTGTTTGTTTGCTTGTTTGCTTCCCCAATTTTCTGATTTATGTATTTTCTTATTTTATTGTTGACAGGGTCTCACTGTGTAGTCCAGAAAGGCCTATAACCCAAGTTCCTCCTGTCTTAGGTTTCCAAGCACTGGGACAGGCACTGACTACCAGGCTTAGCCTTATTTATTTACCTCTATGTGTGCATGCTGGAAAGGAGAGAGAGAGAGAGAGAGGGAGGGAGGGAGGGAGGGAGGG